CATGTTCAGGGGGGGAGGGATTGGGGGGGGGGGGTGAACGTATTTTAGGATAGCTCTCAGGAACTGCTCTAATTTAAAAAAGTGCCCACAGCATCACGTGTATGCAACATTCACATTTCAAAATGGTGGTGGTGGCGGCACTTTAACTAAAGCTCGCTTGACAAACAGTAGTTAAAGCACCACGGCAATTGTTTTGAAGCATGGGGACGCTGAATACACATGATGCTACAGCTACTGGGGTGTGCTAATTAGCATGCTTCAGCAGATTTGATTAATCAAGTCTGCTCTAATGCTTTACCAATTAGCACATGTTGGAGCAGGCATCAGGCATGTGTACAGATGGTCTCAAAGCCTGGGTGAGAATGTAATAAAACCCATCACAAACAGATGTAACATTGCAAATAGGAAACTCAAAATAGGACATATTGATGTATTTGGGGAAGGAAACCTTATGACAGGATGCAGAGAAGGCCAAAGTGCTCAATGACTTATTTGCCTTAGTCTTCACAGGCAAGGTCAGCTCCCAGACTACTGCAATGCGCAACAGTTTGGGGAGGAGGTGAGCAGCCAGTCGTGAAAAAACAAGTTAGGGATTACTTGGAAAAGCTGGACATATACAAGTCTATAGGCCAAGATGGGATGCACCTGAAGGTGCTGAGGAAGTTGGCCAACGTGATTAAAGAACCACTGACAATCATCTTTGAAAACTCATGGCAATCAGGAGAAGGGCTGGACTGGAAGAGAGCAATCATAGTGCCCACATTTACAAAAGGAAAATCCAGGGAACTCCAGACCAGTCAGCCTTGCCTCAGTCCTGGAAAAATGGTGCAGATCTTCAAGTAATCCATTTCTAAGCACTTGGATAAGAAGGTGATTAGGAATAGTCAGCATGGATTCACTAAGGGCAAGTCATGCTCAACCAACCTGATTGCCTTCTCCGAGATAACTGGCTTTGTGGATGTGGTACACCTTGATTTTAGCAAAGGCTTTTGATATGGTCTCCCACAACGTTCTCCCAGGCAAGCCAAGGAAGTATGGGCTGGATGAATGAACTGTAAGGTAAACAGAAACCTGGCTGCAGCATTGGGCTCTGAGGGTAGTAATCTATGGCTCCATGCCTAGTTGGCAGCCAGTATCAAGTGGAGTACCCCAGGGGTCAGTCCTGGGGCTGATTTTGTTCAAATTTCTTCAAAGACTTAGAATGTGGCATAGAGTGCACCCTCAGCAAGTTTGCAGAGGACACAAAGCTGGGAGAGTAGTAGATATGGTGGACGATAGGTCTAGGACTCATAGTGACTTAGACAAATTGGAGGATTAGCCCAAGAAAAATCTCATGAGGTTGAGCAAGGATAAATGCAAAGACCTGCACTTAAAGACGGAACAATCCCGTACACTGGTACAGGCTGGGAGCCAACTGGCTGAGCAGCAGCTCTGCAGAAAAGGACCTGAGGGTTACAGTGGGCAGTAAGCTGAATACAAGCCAGCAGTGTGCCCTTATTGCCAGGAAGGCTAACGGCATGCTGGGCTGCATTGGTAGGAGTGTTGCCAGTAAGTCAAGGGATGTGATTATTTCAGTACTGGTCAGGCCACATCTGGTGACTGTGTTCATTTTTGGGGCCCCCACTACAGAAAGGATATAGACAATTGGGAGAGAGTCCAGCAGAGGGCAATGAAACTGGTAAGGGGGCTGGGGCACATGACTTGTGAGGAGAGGCTGAGGGAACTGGGCTTATTTAGTCTGCAGAAGACAATACTAAGGAGGGATTTAATAGCAACCTTCAACTACCTAATGGTGGGCTCAAAAAGAGAATGGAGCTAGACTGTTCTCAGTAGTTACAGTTGACAGAACAAGGAGCAACAAATCTTAAGTTGCAGCAAGGGACATTTAGGTTAGATATTAGGAAGAGCTCTCTCACTAGGAGGGTAGTAAAATGCTGGAACAGGCTACTGGAGAGGTGGTGGAATTTCTGTCCTTGGAGGTTGTCAAGACCTGGCTAAACAAAGCTCTCTCTGGGATGATCTAGTTGGGGGTGGTCCAGCCTTGAGTAGCACACTGGACTAGATGACCTCCTGAGGTCCCTTCTAGCTCTAATTTTCTAAGATTTAGTAAATTTCCTAAAGATTTTAGTAATAACTGTATTTTAAAAAAAAAATTATGCTTTGGTACCAGCTACAAACTATGGATTATTTTAAATAGGTAGTTTAGGAATGGTGGACTTCCCTCCACAAAACTGATTCTGAAGAGAAACATCATTTTACTAAAGTCAGCTGGATTGAATATTTCTTTATTCCATGCTAGATGGAATTAAAAGACTGATCCAAAATTATGATGGTAGTGTTAGTTTCTGATACTGTTGACTCCTGTCTTTTCAAGTCACTAGCGGGCTCTCACAAGTATGTGTCCATTACTGCCCAAAGAAGTTTCACAAGACACTGCTGATTAAGGAGTTTTGAGAAGTGAGCATTATATGGAGGGTCCCTTACTGGTACTCCTCCCAGTCATTTTGTTTTCGTTTGTTGAGGGAAAAAAAACAGGATACCACTAGGAGGAAATTACCACCCCAAACATAACCTAGTCCATCTTAAAACATTAAAAACTCTCCTCTCTCTCTAGCAGGGTCTCTTCTAGAAAAAAAACAAAACTATCATCACCACCACCAGCATTAGCAATAATAAATACTTTTATTTATATTCATCTCACGCATGGACAAAATGTTTGCCCCACAGATCAAGGCAATTTTTTGGGTTGGAACCCTATACACGTCCTTTTATTCCATTTCAGATTCCACAGTCTTAACAAGTCTCCCAATGTCTGACCAAGGACAAGGACCTGGTAAAAACGAACAGGAAGCAATTCAACCTGATAAGGAAGGGATCCTTATCAGGAGCAGGCATTTAGTAGGAACAAGCCAAAATGGAGCCTGAACTGAACAGAACTAGGTTCTACTAAAACAGTTTACAGCCTCAGCAAACAATTAGATCCAAAGTTGTACCTGGATTTCCTCATGGTAGTTGCAGCATTACCTTTCACCAAACATGTGAACTTTGTTACCCACACTTTGGCAAACCCCAGCTTGACTGCCGAGATATGATTGTCCTTAATGGACATTCAGAAGCTGCAGAATGTTATAGAATCAGAAAAAGCTTCCCACCTCTCAAATGGCTGACTGGTATGAACACAAAAAAAGAAAGACATCTTATATTTCTGAGCTTTATTTTATTTTTAGTAAAAAGAGATCTATGGAAACCACCCTTCAGTCATACCGACTTTTCCAAACATAAATATTTATTGTAAACAGCACATCAAAAAAAAAAAATGTATAGTTTCACACTCGCTGAACAAATAATACTATCTTGGATTATAATAACTACCTAAATAGAAAAAAGGAACTGCTCTCACTAAATTTTGCATTTGCTTTCTCCCAACTTTGAATTTCCCACTCCATCTCATATTTGTCAGTGCTTAGGAATAACTTCTCCAGGGCAGGAGCGGTCTATTCTTAGGATTGAACGAAAGTAGGGCTGGAAGGGACCTCATGAGGTCATCTAATCCATCCCCCCCACACAAGGGCAGGATCATCCCTGACCAGACCATCCCAGCCAAGCGTCTGATTAACCCACTCTTGAAAAATGTGTAGGGATGGAGAGTCCACAACTTCAGTAGGTAGTCTGTTCCAATGCTTGACAACCCTCATGGCTGGAAAGTCCTTGTAGTGGGAACATGGATGTTTGCTTAGCTCCGTCTTTAAATGTCATGCAGCCCTATATTTCCTGGGCACACATGCCTCAGGAATATCACAGACAAATCAGCACTCAATGCCACAACATAACATAGTCCATACAGGGTTCCCTCAGTCCCGAGTCTTCTCCAGAGCCAGAGACAGTGCCTGTGGCTTCCTACTGCTCTCTGTCTACAGTTTTACATCTCAGGCTGTCTTCGACTCAGTTCCTCGACTTGATGCTGCTTGCTTCCAGCCTTGTAGCCCCTGAGTTGTCTCCCAGACCCCATGAAAGGTTTCTCTGGTTCACTGCTGCTCCTTGCCTTGTAGCCTTCTCTCTCACCCTGCAATATTTTCCAAGACCCAGAGAGGGCTACCTCAACTCTATACTGCAGGTCTCTCACCTCAGTCTTCCCCTCTCTTCCTGGCTCTCCTGCCTCCCCCTGGGAGTATCGCCCTTAGCTCCCTTCAGCTAGCTGATTACCTTTCTCGTCTGTCCTAGTTCTTCTGGCAACCTGTGACAGTCCTGTTAATACAGCCAAACTTGCCTTGTTGCAAAAAGAGCAACCTGTTGGGTCATACTTGTCAAAGATCAAAGTCTTTGATTTCAGATGCCGATGGCAAAAGGTCAGAGGCTAACACAACAAACTCTGTAATTGTAGTCTATCCCTCCGTATTGACAGTGCTGCATGCACACATCCTTGTTTGTGCCTCATTTCAAATTGCTTGAGTCTCCCATACGAGAGAGAAACTAACCTTGAACAAATTGCAGCCTAGT